AGTCAAATTTTTAATTTAATTTTTAATGAAGAATTTGAAGGCTAGTATATCACTATTAAAAACTTATAAGAATAGTCAATATAAATTATATAAATAAAATATATATTATTCTTGATTTATTCTAAATACATTTAAAACATGAATACATATATGTATAAATAATTTTTAGAAGTAAATTAATATCAATGATAGAAAATCCAAAAACAATAATGGTGGTACCTTGGGCCGCAATAATCTTTAGTATAATAAATAAGCCCATTAAATTTGTATGATATCCATGTTTCCAATCAAATTTTTAAAATTTTCTTATTCATGTTTCCAAACACTTTATTTTTGTACTTCAGCTTTAATAATATAGATATATGCGTGTGTGTATTTTTACCTTTATAATTTTCTTTTTTTTTTCTATAACCTGTGGGTATAAATCTAAACTTTGACAAATACATACATGTATAACTGACTAGATCCATATATATTACTCCTAGCTTCTTTTTTTTGGTCAAATATTTATTACTCCTAGCTAAACATGTAGCTTTTCTTGGGAAAAATTAGGTTGTGTCCAGGGATGGATATATGTTAACGACAATAGAGTCACGTGTCCCCGACTGTTTTTAATTTATCTCAAATAATATTTTCTCTGTTTCAAATAGATCTATATTATAGAAAAAAAAATTGATTCAACAAATTACGTTTTTTACATTTTTAAAGTACTTATTTGGTAAATTGTAAATTTCCAAAAATATAATTATATTTCTTAAAATTCTATTAGTTAAAAGTTATTGAGAATGATTAATTACAAAATAGTATATTAATAAATTAAACTTAAATTTTTTTTTAATAAATATAAAAATGTTAAAACATGATACATATTGAAACAGAGAGAGTATATGTTAATTTTGATAAATTATTCCTAATTTAGTGAATAAATATGAAAAGTTCTTCCAGTTCAACTTGTTTTTAGTTTTTTGTTGTGCCCCCTAATACATGTTGATGGATCCGCCACTGGTTGTGCACCTTATACTCCCTCCGTTTCATATTAAGTGTCGTTGTAGAGAATTTTTTGCGTTATAAAATAAGTGTCGCTTTCGGTTTTCAATGCAAAATTTATTAATTTTATTATGTAATTTGTTTTTCTATTGGTTAAAATATGGTTAGGTGTATGGGTAACTGTGTTTTTATATAGGAAATATGTAAAATTAATTGTTTTCTTAATATGTGTGCACAGCTGTAGAGTGACACTTATAATGAAACAGAGGGAGTAGTTTTTATCAAAAGTTCAAACTCTTATTTTCATCTAAAGATATTTATCACTAGTAGATACTATCTCAAACGTACCTATTAAGATAGTCATTTTCTAAATTTGAACTCCTCAAATTCGAAATTCCAACGAGTGTATGACAAAAAAACAACTTATTTCATGTTTCTTACTATTCCATTTCTCATCGGCCAAAGTAATAAATAATAATAAGACTCAGTAACAAAAAAGTACTCTATTCCAAAATGTTAAATGTTTTAGTTCTTTTACACATATTAAGAAAAACATAAAATTTTGATTACCAATACATTATTTATTATAGATAACAATTCCCTATATTTTTAACCAATACTCCCTCCGTTTCATTATAAGTGTCACTCTACAGCTGTGCACACGGATTAAGGAAACAATTAATTTTACATATTTCTTATATAAAAACACAATTACCCATACACCTAACCATATTTTAACCAATAGAAAAACAAATTATACCTAAAATTAATAAATTTTGCATTGAAAACCGAAAACGACACTTATTTTGTAATGCAAAAATTTCTCTACAATGACACTTAATATAAAACAGAGGGAGTATAGTTTTAAGAAAAACAATTTTTTTTGGAATCTACAGTTTTCATTAAATTATACATTGAAAATATAAAAAATACAATTTTCTGAAACAAATATTTTTTTCTAGAATGTTAAGTAATTTTTTTTGAAACAGAGGGAGTAATAAATAATAAATTAGATATCAACAAAAGAATATAAATAAAACAGAGAGTTATTTGAAAGAATGAGAAAGAGCATTTTCATTTGGAGTATTTTAAAAAGGATTCTCATAATAAAAATAACAAAAATAAAAAGGAAGTGAAAGAATGAGAAAGGATTCTCAATAAGATACTTCAAAAAACTCATGAGAACCCATTACACTATTTGTCTTCTGTCTGCTGGTTTATTTTTTTCAGATTAAAATTAGTTATGTAACAAAAACAGATTAAAATATTAATATTTTCTTTTGTCTGAGATACTCAAAAGAGTTTTTACCAATGAAATTGCTCTAGGAACACATTAAAGGTATATTTACTCCAAAGAATATCAATTTAATATGCATATAATTTTGCTGTATAAACAAATAAAACTAAATAAATATAAATAGGGTCATATGCCAAGTAACATTTCGCATTTGAGTTACTCACATCTTTTGCATAGTTTTCAACTCTTCACTTTATCATCTCTGTTGTTCTCTTTTTTTTTTCATTTCAATTTTGAGAGACTCGAAGGAAAATCTTCCAAATACAAATGCTCTAAGATCGTTGATGTGTATAAAGCGATAAATTTATTATTGCAACAAATACAAAATAAAATTCACATTTAATTGTCTTATTTTTTAAATGTGAAAATTGGGGAGAGTGACGAACTAGATGATGTATACCACTATAATCGTGCCTCACATATTCTATAAAAGATAAACGCCAATAATGCACGCCACACTACTATACTTCCAAAAAATTAGCATATACTTTATATATATACACACACACACTATCCTAACGAACTAGTAACTACCATATATTAGTGTCATGTAGGATCCAATAATATAGATACGAATTTTACTTGGATATCATCAACCTTCTTTATAAACTAAGCGATTCATTTGAATACGTAGTTGATGCAGAATATATAGATTTATTTATATAACACAGTGTAAAGCTCCCTAGAGAGAAACCAACACAGCATTAAACAGCTGAGGGATTTTGTGTTGTGTGGAGGTCGACCTTTCAGCGTTAAGATAGGCCAATCATGTTTTTCCTTTAATATACTACTATTTATGATGTTATTTAATAATATCAGAATACTATAGTACAATTTTTCAAAAACAAAAAAATGTTTTATGCATTATATTATATCAACATCTCACTCTTAACATCCGTCATATTCTTTGAATGTTCACGTGAATATCACACATATGCTGATTAAGATGTTACCCATTATCTTTTTTATTAGTTACGTTGTTATAATATTACGATCAGTATGACAATAAATGTCTTAACTGACAAGAATATCCAACTTCTTAAGAGGATTCATATATTATTGAAGGTTTTGGCTCAGGATGTATATATGAATGTGATAAATACACACAAGATTTGCTATGTTTCAAAACTTTATCCACGACGTTTCAAGTATAGGACGCATGTTATAACAAATAGATATTGTTAACTAGTTTCCATATTTTGCAATAACGTGACAAAAACATCTGTCTGGAAGCAAGTCACCATGGACCGCTTATGAAAACTTAGCACATGATTGAAAGCCACAAAATAGATAAAGTAGACCAATTCTCTCCTTTTTTATCCATATTCTTTTTGGATTTAACGAACTTAAATCAAATAGCTTTCAATCATAATCATCATATTCCCGAAAGAGATAATATGTCACAATCAGCCACGCGCAAGAACCTCTGGACGTATTAGAGGTTTCGAGGCCGAGAAGGACATAACCACGTGACCGTCAACATACCACAAACCCAGTCTCATAGGGCATTAACTGATTAAGAAGAAGCAGAACAACTTATCTTCTCTCTTCAACATTCTCTCCACATCTCTTTAATGACATGAAAACGACGCTTCTTATGACCCACTTTCGAGTTTGATACTGAGACTGAAAACCTGATAAGGTCAAGAGTAGAGAGAAGAGAAAAGGCTGCCAAACTCAACCCGCAGCCATATTGAGACTTTTAACAAATTATCAGGGATCAAAATAATTGTCTAGTCAATATAATAGGGCTGCCTAAACTCAGTATGATGCTAAGTGACCAGAGCCGGTTCTAGACATAATGAAGTGAAATACTTGGTTCAACACAAAGAACATAATTCTCAAAAAAAAAAGAAAAAGAAAAAAAACACAAAGAACATGCTATCTCATCCACTCTTCTGAACAATTCAACATCTTAATTAATACATAGTTGCTAGCTTTATATTCAACTTCTGACAATAAAAAAAAAAGGACTATAAGAATGTTGTGATTTGTGAGTGTATTATTTGACTATGAGAGTATAATCAAACATAATCATATGACATAACTAAAGAGATTACACACCAGCTTTCAAAAAAAAAAAAAGATAAAGAGACTACATATAATCATGTAGTTAATATAAAGAGATTAATTTATGATTTGAGTAAATATTAAAAGTGATCTGATTATACTATTTCCTGATAAAAAAAGACCAAATCAAAGGTTGTTCTGATTTAGATATGCCTTGCATATAACGATCCTCTTGCACAGGCCTGCAACAAATGGAAACACACTCCACACAACTAAAAACGTAAACCTAAAAACATGCCGTCTGTTATGAATCACGCTGAACAGCCTTGCCGTTTCTATGTTCCACAATCCATACTATAAAACTTGCCATCCTTTCTATAACTTCATGAGCACCTTGTCGTGTTTATGTTCCACTCTTATTAATAACTATTCGACCCAAGAAACGTTAGCGTTTCAAACAAACCTGTTGTTTTTGCTATATCTTGGTGAACAACGTGTCGTTTCTTCCATCATCTATTATTTGGGGTTCTCTAATAAACTATAAAAGGCTTTAGTGATATAAAGCCCATTAGAACTTCTTTGGCCCAAGATCACCTTAGTAAAAACAAATTTATATATTTTTATTTATTTATTTCGTCGACGGATAACAAACGAGAAGCGACGGTGGTCCGTGATCAAACCCGGCGGGAAAGAATTTTTTCCGAGGATGATCGGCCGGCGTGCTGGAACTAATCGAGTCGGGATGAGGAGGGACGATTCCTATCTGACTCGGTTCGTTGACTCAGTGTTTTCTCTGTTCCGATTAGCTGAGTTTGAGATCCTGTTTGTGCTGTTTTTCATCATCGCCTACGTCATCTTCAAAGATCTGGTGAGATTCGCTTATAGATCGTAGCGGAATTCGAATCCGTATCATTTTGATTTGAGTTTTTGTTAATTTTTTATTTTTTGCAGACGGCGAGGCCGGAGTATAATCGGATTCTGGTGGAGAAGCCCGGTGGATCTGACATCTGGCCGTTCTAGATTTGAAATTTAATAAACTCGTGTATGTGTTTCTGTAGTGCGTATGTGGTTGTAAATGTCACTTTGTTCAATGTGATTCTCTCCTTCCATAGTTTTAAAGGACTCAGTTAGTTGCAAAAACGTATCAGAAGAAACTGGTATACATAAATGGATTTTAGTATATGTGTGTTCTGTTGAGTTCAATCTACACATAGGAGGCGATGATAGATTCAGGTATGTCTATGTTCATTTTGAAGATGATAGATTCGGTGTATGTACATGTTCATTTTGAAGATGATAGATTCGGTGTATGTACATGTTCATTTTGAAGATGATAGATTCGGTGTATGTACATGTTCATTTTGAAGATGATAGATTCGGTGTATGTACATGTTCATTTTGAAGATGCTAGATTCAGTGTATGTACATGTTCATTTTGATCTTTGGGAATCACAAGAAACTGGTATATGTTAATGGATTTTAGTATATGTGTTTCTGTTGAGTTCAATCTACACATAGGAGGTGATGATAGATTCAGTATATGTCTATGTTCATTTTGAAGATGATAGATTCAGTATATGTCCATGTTCATTTTGATCTTTGGGAATCACAAGAAACTGGTATATATTCATGGATTTTAGTATATGTGTTTCAGTTGAGTTTGGTCTACACATAAGAGGTGATGATAGATAGGAAAATTTCATGGTTCAGTATATGTCTCTGTTTCGATCGGTGGTTTATGAAGTTTCAGGAGAGAGCTATGTGGTAGGTTTTGTGAAACTTATAAACCTCAAAGGTTAGGTTTTTGTCTCCTTGATCTTGGTTTACCCGTGAAAACTATAGCTTCAGAGATTTTTCGAAATTTGATTATGTGTTATGTTTGATGAATTTTGAAGAAGAGATTGCATTTTACTTTAATTTGCTAAAAGCTCAAAGTTTATCTCTTAGCAATTGAGAATGTTAGACTTGTGACTTGTCTCTGTTGTTTTAAGCAAGAAGAATGGACTGTATGTAGAAGAAGCCAAATAGTATTTTACAGAATTTTTAGGCATTGTATATGATTCAATATAGGGAGAAACAAGTCTTGAGATAGATAGCAAAGTAGAAATGGACTGTAGGTAGAAGAAACCAAAGTTCTGTATTGTTTCTTTTCTCTGGTTGTTTTGGTCTCTCTATAACCTGGCTGAAGGGCGTGGAGTGTCCCATTCGGTGGTGATGTGGTTACGGGTGATTTCCTTGAGAGACCTGCAGCCACTTAGTGCCATGGTTAGCTCGAACTCATCACGTAGCATTTGAAGCACCTTTCTGACTCCAGCCTCTCCTTCAGCAGCAAGTGAGAACACCACTGGTCTACCAATCTGATATTCAGAGGGCAAAAAAAAAAGACAATGTGTTATGATTGTCAATGGTTTTAAGCAGCTTTCTGGTAATTTGAAAATATGATATGCTTACAAAGATCCCTGAGGCTCCAAGTGCAAGTGCCTTGAAGACATCAGTGCCACGACGAACACCACCATCCAAGAAGACAGGGATACGTCCTTGTGTCGCTTTGACAACCTGAACACAGGAGAAAAAAAATACTGAAGTTGCTGACCCAAAACAACTTATATGAGGACACCATTTAGCAATTGGCATTTATACCTCTTCAAGGGCTGAGATTGTTGCTGGGACATAGTCAAGCTGGCGAGCTCCGTGGTTTGAGACGATGATCCCGGCTGCACCAGCTTGTACAGCTATCCTTGCTGCAAGAGGATAATTATAGTTGATCTGTTTAGGTACTTTTACTAAACTTAAGAGAAGAAGGCATTTGTTTGTGAGATGGTAACTCACCATCCTCTCCTGTAATAACACCCTTGACAAGAATCGGCATGCTGGTGATTGTCTGGAGCCACTGGACATCCTGTTTGTGTAAATGAAAGTTAGAGCTGTCCTAAATCAAGTTTCTGTTCGTGCTACTTGGTTTTGTGTTTATCTTTTAAAGTATTGTACTCTCGTACCTTCCAGCTTAAGGTACGGTCAATTTGGCCAGCAACGTATGAAGCCAAGCCAGAGTCATTGGCCTGCAGGTGGAAACGTAAACATAACAAGTCTGCTTTAAGACTTGCCTTGCGACAATCATATTCAGACTCTAATGCTAGATGGTATCCGATGGGTTCTTACCTCGTCCATCTTTCCGAGGTCAAGACCTTCAAAGTTCTTCAATGTCAGGTATGGAGGCAAAGTGAATCTGTAGCAGGAGAACGCACAGAAATTAATACTTTTTGCCTATGTAATTGCATATTAAATTACAGTTAGCTCTTGACTTTTGAACTGACTTAGCTTTACCTGTTCTTGATATCAGACTCTCTGCGACCAAGCCTTGGTGTGTCTACAGTGAGAGCAATGGCTTTGAATCCAGCCCTCTCGGCTCTTCTCACGAGCTGCTCAACCACTTTCCTGTTCTTGTATACCTACTCAGAACAATCATAACGTGTGAACCATCATGTGCTACCAGTTTAATCTGGATTTACAGTAAGCGACTAAGATTACTTACATAGAGCTGGAAGAACCGAATCCCTGGTCCTGTGGATGCAACTTCTTCAACACTGGAAGTAGCCCATGACGACAGTGTCTGGAACAACACAAACCAGAGACATAGGTATGCATGGTTTTTAAGATGAATAAGCTCCAAACAAGGAAAAGTTTAAGAATCTTTCGTAATGATGTAATAGCATACCATGATGGTTCCAGCTGCAGACGCAGCTCTAGCCGTAGCATATTCCCCTGTATTAGTTCCCATCACAGTCGTTAGAGCTAAGCCTTAGTCTTTGTCTCTACTCTAGCGATACTAAAACTAGTTCTCACTCTCTACGTAACTTTTTTCTACAGAATGTTTCAAGAGAGCAGATATCTTTACCTTCCGGGTGAGCCATCTTTTGCATGGCAGTAGGAGCAACCATGATCGGCATGGAGATCTTGAAACCCAAGATGGTAGTTGTCATATCAATCTGGCTCACATCGATCAGAATCCGTGGCCTAAAGCTGTATTTAAAATCCCAAGGTATGTATATCAAAGTCACATCTCTTGTAAAACCAATAACAGAAAGTGTTATCTTGTAGCTAGACCGTAAACATAAGTTTAACAGACAGCTTACAGGATCCTAGCGAAAGCGTTTCTGTTCTCTTGAAGAGTCCACTGGTCCTCTGCTCCAGAGGCATAGTAGTCGTATACCATCTTAGGCAACTTCTCCTTTGCAATCGCTTCATACTCGGTAACGTTTGTAATCTCCATTTTCCAAACTGAGCCTCGCGGGAGAGAGATGAAGGTTTGTGAGTGGCGAAGAAGCCTTATATAATTTTATATAATATATCTCAACGTTTATATCTGGTTTAGAGTTAAAGTATTTTGTGTGTTGTGACAGTTGAAAATTATTGGCAATAAAAAAACTTGATATGGATGAGGTTCTAAAGGTGAAGAATGGATAAGGAGATACGGACAAAGATGAGATGGATAGTGTGTGTCTAATTCACAAGCAACTTGTGTCTTCCTTACATTTTCTTTTATATTATCCTTCTTAATAAGTAATAGTAATTCATAAGCCAATTGTTTATTTTTCTTTTTTGAAGGACATATAAATCCAAGTGCGGATGTAACATACAAAGCAATAAGCCTAATGATAACATTCAAGCCCAATCTTGTTTTGGACATTTCTATGGTAGGTAGAACCCAGAAGGACACGTTCTTTTCACCTCTCTGGCTCTGTTTAGTCTTTCTATTGAACTGTTGTTTTGACTCTTGATGATGGTAATACTAATGCTAGTTGTATCTATTGTATAAGGAAGAAGAATGAGACTGAAGGTAGAAGTAGGCAAATAGCATTACAAGGAATCTCTAGTCATTGTTTTGCATTTTGGATACAACATCTTTTGAAATAAATAGCAGTGTAGAAGCCAAAGTGATCAATCAGAAGAATAACAATAGGTTTAATCCATTGCTTAGCTCTGTGTTGTTGCTGTTCTCTGGTTTGCTGTTATAGTTTGCCTCTCTATAACTTGGGCAAATGGCGTGGAGTGTCCCATTCAGTGACAATGTGGTTGCGAGTGATCTCACTGAGAGACCTGCATCCACTTAACGCCATGGTTAGCTCGAACTCATCTCTTAACATTTGAAGCACTTTTCTGACTCCAGCTTCTCCTTCAGCAGCAAGTGAGAACACCACTGGTCTACCAATCTGAAATTGAGGTTAATTAAAGATATGGTGTTATAATTGTCAATGGTTTTGAGCACCTTTTTGATAAATGGAAAACTATGATGCTTACGAAGATCCCAGAAGCTCCAAGTGCAAGTGCCTTGAAGACATCAGTTCCACGTCGAACACCACCGTCTAAGAAGACAGGTACACGTCCTTGTGTCGCTTTGACAACCTGAACACACGAGAAGAGAACTGAAACTGTTGGACACCACACTTTCATGAGAAGACAAATTGATGCTTGTAGTCGACAATGATTTACCTCTTCAAGAGCTGAGATTGTGGCTGGCACATAGTCTAGCTGACGAGCTCCATGGTTTGACACAATGATCCCTGCTGCTCCAGCTTGAATCGCAATCCTTGCTGCAAGAGGGTAATAATAGTTGACCTTATCAATCATTCTTATGAAACTTAAGCGATGGAGACATTTGTTTGCTAGATTGTAACTCACCATCCTCTCCTGTAAGAACACCCTTGACCAGAATAGGCATGCTAGTGATTGTCTGGAGCCACTGGACGTCCTGTTTGTATACATGAAAGTTAGTGAAATCTGAATCAAGTTTATGTTTCCAACTAGTCAGTTTTGCTATGCTAACATATGCATGGTTTGTTGTATTCTCTTACCTTCCAGCATAAAGTACGGTCAATTTGACCAGCAACATATGAAGCCAAGCCAGAGTCATTGGCCTGCAGGTTATAATGTAAGAAGTTCAAGTAAATGTCAGGAAACAACAGTGCATCATTGCCCTGTATTCATACTATATTGCTGGATAGATCTTATGGATGTTTACC